CCTTCAGGAGCCCCAAAACCTCTCTGGGACCCCCCAAAATCTCTCAATTCTGTGAGACTCTCAAATGGGACCCCAAAACTTCGCTGGAACCCCCAAAATCCCTTCAGGAGCCCCTAAAACCTATCGCCTGGGACTCCTAAATCGAACCTCAAAACCTCCTTGGGACCCCCCAAAATCCCTCCATTCTGTGAGACCCCAAAAACCTCCCTGGGATCCCTCAAAATCTCTTCAGGAGCCCCAAAATAATCCTCTCCCCCCTGGGATTCCCAAATGGGACCCCCCCAAAATCCCTTCAGGAGCCCCAGATCCTCCCAATCCTGCACCCCTGCAACCCCCAAATTCCCCCTGCGGGACCCTCCTGCACCCCCAAACCTCCCTGGGACCCCAATCCTGGAACTGCGCGACCCTCGCTGCCCCCACCTCCCTCAGGACCCCCAAAACCTCCCCCCGCCGAGACCCCAAAATTTCCCAACGCCGCCTTTCCTGCTCCTGCTGCCCCCTCCCATTTTTGGGGGTCCCCCCGCCGATTTTGGGGTGCGGGGGGTGACGGGTGCCTGTCCCGCAGGTGGGGTCCCCCTGGGAGGCCTGGGTGAGCCCCAACCTGAGGCTGCAGCAGCTGCTGCTGATCTGGGGGCTCCCCGGGACCCCCGTGCTGAGCTACGGCGACGAGCTGGGGATGCAGCGGCCCCCCAAAAACCAGCAGGTACCCGGGGGGGGTTCGGAGGGTGCGTGGGGGTTTTTGGGGTGCTGCAGGTGGGATTTGGGGGGCTGCAGGGAAGCTCTGGGGGTTTTAGGGAGAGATTTGGGGTTTGCAGGGGTGGGTCGGGGTGACTCCCTGACCCAAATTTTGCTGGGTTTTGACCCAGTTTTGTCATTTTTTACTCCGATTTCACAGCTTTTTGCCCCAATTTCACTGTTTTTTACCTGAATTTCACCAGCGTTTACCCAAATTTCACCGCGTTTTGCCCCAGTTTCACCGTTTTTTCCTCCGAACGTCACTGTTTTTTACCCCAATTTCACCAGGTTTTTTTTTTACTCGAATTTCACTGGTTTTTACCCCAATTTCACCGTTTTTTGCCCCAGTTGGAGCCGATGCAGTGGGACTCCACCGACGAGTCGAAACCAGCCGGGAACAGCTCCGAGGTGGGCGGGGCTTGGGGCGGTGATTGACAGGGGTGGGCGGGGCTTGGGGCGGTGATTGACGGGTGTGTGGGGCTTGGGGCGGTGATTGACTGTGGGCGGGGCTCGGTGATTGACAGGGGTGGGCGGGGCTTTGTGGTGGTGATTGACAGGGTGAGTGGTGCTTGATATGGGCGTGGTTTGTGTTAAGGGGCGTGGCTTAGAGTCGCCCCTCCCCTGGGGGAGGACCAATAATGTTAATTTATGATTGGGCGCTGTTTCATTGGCCACGCCCATATGTGGGCGGAGCTTTTTCTAAGGTGGGCCCCACAACGCGGCAGCGCCACCGGTTCTTAAAAGGGCAACGCTGCCTTAAAAGGGCAACACCACCTGCTGGCTCCTTAAAGGGCCAGCGCCTCATTCCCTGCCCTGGGGCTGGGTTTGGGGGTATCCCAGCCCCCAGTGTAACCCCAGCCCCCTCCTCACCCGCAGGCCCCCGAGCTGGAGCTGTGCACGGCCCTGGCCTCGCTGCGGGCCCACGAGCGCTCGCTGCTGCTGGGCGAGGCGTGGGCGGTGGGCGCCAACGGCAGCGTGGCCGTGCTGCGGCGCTGGGACCAGAGCGAGCGATTCCTGCTGGTGCTCAACCCCCACGGCAGCTCCCTCAAACCCTTCTCGGTCAAAAGGGAGCCCGGGGAACCCCTCCTGCCCCCCTCGGCCACCGTGCGCTTCAGCACCGGCTCGAAGGAGCCCGGGGAGCAGCAGCTGCGGCTGGAGGAGCTCCAGGTGCGACCCTACGAGGGGATCCTGCTGGGCTTCCCCTACAGCCCCCAGTGACCCCCCCAGCACCCCAAACCTGCATTGACCCCCCCCCCAGAACCCCAATCCTGCACCCAAACCTGCACCCAAACCTGCACTGATCTCCCTCCCCCACCAGCCTTGCACCCCCTCATTCCGGGTGGGGTCCCACACTCAACTCCCTTCACTCACTTTTGGGTTCTCATCCTGCTCCCCTCACCTCAAAGTCCTTTTTTTGGGGGGGGTTTTCTTCTGTTCCTGATTCCATTTTGGGGTTTTTCTTTGTTTTCTGGGGTCCCCTCACCAAATACTGAATAAATGAATTGCATTTGTGTCTTTGCTTTTGTCTGTTTTTGGGGGGGGGGTCTGAGGGTCCCCCCCCCAGGATTTGGGGGAATCACAGAACCCTGGGAGCGCCCCAAAATAGGGGGAGAGGGGAATGAGGAAGGATTTGGGCTCCCAGGGGAACCCAACGAGGGGTCCGTGACACCCCAAAATGAGGGGGGTTGGATTTGGGGGCCTCAAGAAGGGTCCTGGGGCTGTTGCAGGGGTAACCAAGACCCCAAAAATGGGGAAATCCAGCCCAAAATGGGGGTTGGGATTCCCAGTGGGGCCTCAGGGGTGGTCCTAAGAAATGGGGACTCCCAAAATAAAGGGGTGGGGTCACCCTGGGGGTCCAGACTGTGAGGGGGGGGCTGGGGAGATTTTGGGGGTCTCAAAGGCTGTGAGGAGCTTCTGGGAGGTACCTGAAGGATTTGGGGAGGGGTCTCGGGGATGGTTTGGAGGTTGTGGGGGGGACAGGGTGTGGGATTTTTTTAGCCCTGCCCCTTTCAGAAGACCCCACCCATTTCTGGGTAGGCCACACCCCACCGTCCACAGCATTTTTTAAAATATATTTAATTTTACTTAATTTGCCTCAGAACTGCATGGCCGCCTCCAGCGCCTGCGACAGCTTCGCGCCGATTTTCCCTGCGGGATGGGGGCGGTCAGGAATGTGAAGGGAGGGGGTCAGGGAGATTTTGGGGGGCGGTTTCAGGACAAGGGGGTGTCCTCACCCACCTGCTCTTTTTTGCAGCTTTTTCCTCCTTTTCGCAGCCGCCCGCAGCCCCTGGCCCTGGAACAGGGGGGGCAGCGCAGCCACCCCCTCCAGGCCGGGGGCTCGGGGCAGCGGCTCCCCCCCGGCGCCCCCCGACTTCACCCGGGGGGGCTTCAGCTCCACCGTCATCCTGCCGAGCTGGGGGGGGTCAAACATTAACCCAGCGCCCCCCAAAAACCCCCCAAAAACCCCCAAAATCCCTTCCCACCTCCAGGTCAGCGCTGTCGTCCTCCATGGCCTCTCCTGGGCCCTGCTCCTCCTCCAGCCCCGTCACCGTCACCGGGACCGCTGCGGGGGTCCAGGGTGAGATTTTGGGGGTCCCTGAGGGGGCAGGGAGGGGGGCTCGGGTGCTGCTCACCTGCCAGGGCCTCGGCATCGCCCCGCTCCAGAGCCTCCAGGTCCAGCGCCGGCCCCAGCGCCGGCAGGATTTGGGCTTGGAGCTGCACCCCCTGGGATTTGGGGGGGTGGGTGTAGTAGGAGATCTTCCCGCTGTGGGGAAAAAAATAAAATTTGAGGGGGTGGGTCAGGGTGTGGGGAGACCCCCCTGCCCCAAAAACACGGCTCAGGTTGTGGGGGGACCCTGCGGCCCCTCCCGAGTGGGGTGATGGGGTGGAAGGATGCCGCCAGGCCCCAAAAAGGGAATCGCAGGGTATGAAAAACCAGCTCTGAAGCCTGGAAAAGGGGAGTCAAGGTGTGTGGGAGACCCCACAGTCCCCCCAAAAAGGGGTCCCAGGGCTGGAAAAGACTCCTTTGGTTCACCAGGGGCTCAAAAGTGGGGGAAGACCCCTCCTCTCCCCAAAAAAAGGGGCCAGGGCATAGGGAGACCTTGTAGCCCCCCCACTAAAAAATGGGGTTAGGCAGTGTGGAAAGACCCCTCCTGTGCCCAAAAATGGGGTCAGGGTGTACGGGGACCCTCCTCAGCACCCCGAAATGGGGTCAGGGTGTGCAGGAACCCTCCTCAGCCCCCCAGAATGGGGTCAGGGTGTACGGGGACCCTCCCCAGCAACCCAAAATGGGGTCAGGGTGTGCGGGGACCCTCCCCAGCCCCCCAAAATGGGGTCAGGGTGTGTGGGGACCCTCCCCAGCCCCCCAAAAATGGGGTGAGGGTGTGGGAAGACCCCCTCCACCCACCCAAACAAGGGGATCAGGGTGAAGAAACCCCTCCCAGCGCCCCAGGACTGGGGTCAGAGCGTGGGGACACCCCCAAACCGTCCCCGTCCCCCCGGTACCTGGTCCAGTCGCGCAGCAGGGCCACGGCGGCGGCGCGGGGGTCCGGCAGCCCCCCGGGCCGCAGCCGGCCCTGCCGCCGGGCCAGGTGGGCCAGGAACTGCAGGGGGTCACTGCAGGGGGGCACCCCGTAAACCTCGCTCAGCTGCGGGGGGACACAGAGGGGTTTGGGGGGCACGGACACACCGGGGGGTGCCACCCCGCCACCCCCCCCCCGGGGCCAAAACGGGCTGAAAACGCCCCCAGTGGGAACCTCCCCTCCCCCAGTGTTGAGCCCCACCTTAATCCCGATTTTGGGGGTCACTGAATCCCCCCCAAAGGGCTGAGCTGGGGAAAAGGGGTCCCCCCAAATTGGGAGCGTTGCTGTTGGGGTGGGGGCTCCCCCGGGGGTCCCACAGACCTGCTGGGCGGGGCAGCGGCGCAGGACGGCGCAGGCGGGGCTCAGGGGGTCCCGCAGGCGCTGGGGGGCCAGGGCCCCCCGCAGGGGCGCGGCGGCCGAGGGGTCCCCCAAATCCAGCACCACCCCCGGACAGTCCAGGAGCCGAATGTGCCGGTCCAGCTGCACGGCCTGCAGGCACCTGGGGGCGGGGTCTGAGTGCCACGCCCAATTCTGGGCGGGGTCAGGGCCATGCCCACACCTGGGCGGGGTCAGTGCCACACCTGGGCGGGGTCAGTGCCACACCTGGGCGGGGTCAGTGCCACACCCACACCTGGGCGGGGTCAGTGCCACACCCACACCTGGGTGGGGTCAGTGCCACACCTGGATGGGATCAGTGGCACACCTGGGTGGGGTCAATGCCACACCCACACCTGGGCGAGGTCAGTGCCACACCCACACCTGGGTGGGATCAGTGGCACACCAAATTCTAGGTGGGGTCAGTGCCACGCCCAATTCTGGGTGGGGTCAGTGCCATGCTCACACCTGGGCGGGGTCAGTGCCACACCCAATTCTGGGCGGGGTCAGTGCCACACCCACACCTGGGCGGGGTCAGTGCCACGCCCAATTCTGGGTGGGATCAGTGCCACACCAAATTCTAGGTGGGGTCAGTGCCATGCTCACACCTGGGTGGGATCAGTGGCACACCCACACCTGGGTGGGGTCAGTGCCACACCTGGGTGGGATCAGTGGCACACCCACACCTGGGTGGGGTCAGTGCCACACCTGGGCAGGGTCAGTGCCACACCTGGGCGGGGTCAGTGCCACACCTGGGCGGGGTCAGTGCCACGCCCAATTCTGGGTGGGGTCAGTGCCACACCCACACCTGGGTGGGGTCAGTGCCACACCTGGGTGGGGTCAGTGCCATGCCCACACCTGGGTGGGATCAGTGCCACACCTGGGTGGGGTCAGTGCCACGCCCACACCTGGGTGGGGTCAGTGGCACACCTGGGTGGGATCAGTGCCACGCCCACACCTGGGTGGGGTCCGTGCCACGCCCACACCTGGGCAGGGTCAACCCAGGCTCCACCCACAGCCCCCCCGCCCCGTGCAGGTGACCCCACCCCCCAGGTGGGCTCACCTGGTGACCCCGGGCACGGCCCCCACCCCGCAGGCGCGGCTGCGCTTGAGGCTGTTGATGAGGCTGCTCTTGCCCACGTTGGGGTACCCTGGGGAAGGGGTTCGGGTTGGGGGGGGGGCCCAAAACCCAGCCCCCACCCCCCCCAACCACCCCCCAAAGCCCCCACCCCACTCACTCACCACACCTCCTATTTCACAGCCCCCACTCAACCCCAGCCCCCCAAAATCCCTCCCCATCCCCCCATCCCCCATTTCAGAGCCCCCCACTCAACCCCAGCTCCCCAAACCCTCCCAGCCCCCAGCCCCACACCCCAACCCCACCTCCTCGAGCCCCCCCAGCCCCTCACCCACGACCCCCACGGTGATGCAGCTCCTGCCCTCCCCGCAGCGGCCGTAGTTGCTCAGGATGTTCAGGAGGCTCTCGGCCCCCACGCAGGCCCCCGTGGCCAGCACCTCCTCGGGGGCCGTGGCCACCGGCACCCGGACCTGCTTCTGTGGGGGCACAGGGGGGTGTCAGGGGCACCCCCTCACCTGAGCCCCCCACGCCCAGGCCCCCCAGCACCCACCAGATTCCGGCTCTGCTGCTGCGTGCACGCCTTGAAGGCCACGGTGGGGAACTCGGCCCGCAGGTGCTTCAGCCACGCGGCCACCACGTCCCGCGGCACCAGGTCTGGGGTGGGGGGACGCACACGGGGGTGTCCCCAGGGCGCGGGGACGGGAGAACCCCCAAACCCACGCCGGGACCCCTCCCCTCCCGCGGCTGCTGCCGCCCTCCCTCACCGATCTTGTTGAGGACGAGCACGAGGCGCTGCTGCGGCCGCAGGGCCGCCTCCAGCCGGGGGCTGCGGCAGCCCTGGGGGTCGCGGGCATCCAGCACCTCCAGCACCACGTCGGACGCCGCCAGCACCTGCCGCAGTCGGGGTTCAGCCGGGCGAGAGACCCCCCCACCCCCCAAAAATCCCCCCGGCCCCGCGGCACCGACCTTGCGCAGCTCCCGCCCGAAGTGGCGCAGCGACGCCTCGTCCTGGGGGGGCTGGGGGGGCTCCTCCTCCTCCTCCTGCTCCTGGGGGCACCTGGGTTACAGCCACGGGGAGCCCCCCGACTTCTGGGGGGATCCCCCCTGTGTGGGGAACCCCCTGACCTCTGGGGAGCCCCCTGGCCTGGAGAAGGGTCCCCACTTCTCTTGCAGGGGGAGCCCCTCCTTGGGATTCTCCCCACTTTGGGGAGCCCCCCAATCTTTGGGGAGCCCCCAATCCTTGGGAATTCCCCCAATCTTTGGGGAGCCCCCAATCTTTGGGCCCCCCCCCAATCCTTGGGAAGCCCCCAATCTGTGGAGACCCCCCCACTCTTTGGAGAGCTCCCCACTCTTTGGGAAGCCNCCCCCAATCTTTGGGGAGCCCCCCAATCCTTGGGAAGCCCCCAATCTGTGGAGAGCCCCCCACTCTTTGGAGAGCTCCCCACTCTTTGGGAAGCCCCCAATCTTTGGGGAGCCCCCCAGTCTTTGGGGAGCCCCCAATCTTCGGGAAGCCCCCCACTCTTTGGGGAGCCCCCCAGTCTTTGGGGAGCCCCCCGGGTGTCCCCAGCCCCACCTGGCTCTGGAAGCGCTGCTGTCGCTGCAGAGCCTCCTCCAGCTGTGCGGCCAGATGTGAGCGCTGCTGCAGCTCCCCCGCCTGCGGGACACCGAGGGGTCACACCCCAAACCCCCCCGGGGTCACACCCCAAAATCTCCCTGGGATGAGATCCCAAAACCCCCTGGGATCACACCCCAAAATCTCCCCAGGGTCACACCCCAAACCTCACCTGAGGTCACACCCCAAAACCCCACCGGGGTGACACCCCAAACTGCCCGGGATCTGACCCCAAAATCCCCCCAGGGTCACCCCGAAATCCCCCCGGGGTTCCTCACCCGGCTCCGGCTCCGCTGCTGCCGCTGCGCGAGGCGGCCGAGCCGCGGCACCCCCGGGTCCTTCCTGAGCCCACCACGGGCCTGGGGACAGCGAGGGGGGAAACGGGGACACCCCGGGGTGGGGGTCACACACGGGGGGTCACAGGGGGCACCCACACACGGGGGGGTGACACGGGGGAGGGTCACAGGGGGACACCCCGGGGTGGGGGCGGGGGGTCACACACGGGGTGGGTGACACGGGCTGCCCCCCCAACCCCGCCGGGCCGGGCTGCGCTCACCTGGCCGCGCTTCTTGCGGGCCGCCTCCAGCTGCCGCCCTGCGGGGAGGGGCGGGGTGAGCGCGGGGGGTCCCCGAGCCCCCCCGAGCCCCCCCGAGCCCCCCGGTGCTGCCCCAACTCACGGGACCGCGTCATGCCTGCGCCCCACGCCGCCCGCGATCCGCGGCGCGGCCGCGTGACGTCACTTCCGGCGCGGCGGAAAGGAGACTCAGCCCCCTCCATTGCCACGCCCTAACATGGCGGCCACCAGAAACACTCAAGATGGCGCCCCCCGCGCCAATACCACACCCAAAATGGCGCCCCCCTTATGGCAGCGCCCACACCCAAGCTGGCGCCCCCCACACCGATACCACACCCACGATGGCGTCCCCCGAGCCTCCCCTCAGTGCGGCCAAGGAGCCGCGCTCGCCACAGCGGCGGCAGCGACACGGCCGCGCTCCAGCTGGCGCGCGGCCGAAGCCGCTTTGAGGGCCACGTCCAGCATGGCGGCCCCTCAGCCTGCCACGCCCAAGATGGCGGCCAAGCCCACCCCCCACCCCCCCCCCAAGAACGACCGGGACTGCCCTTACCAAGAGTGCATTTTTTTATTCCTTTTTTTTTTTTTAAACTTTTTCTCTCAGTTTTGGGGTGGGGGGTGGGGCTGAACTTCTTATTTATAATTTCACGGGTTCCCCCCTTTCACCATCCCCGCCCCCCCCCAGCCCCCAACACGGGGGAAGGGGGTGAGGGGGGCAAGGAGGGAACCCCAACCCTCCAACAGAGCAAAAACCCCTCCCCCAAACCGGGACCGGAGGAAAAAAAAAAAAAAAAAAAACCCCAAAAAAAAAACAAAAAACAAAAAACAAAAAACAAAAAAACCAAAACAAACCAAAAAAAGCCAATGGAACCAAAAAATATATATATATTTATAGAGCCCCAGCGGGGGGGCCGGCGCGGCCCCCCTAGGCCAGCCCGAAGCCCTCGGAGCACTCCTGGATGGCCAGCAGCAGCATGTGCCGCAGCTTCTCGTAGCTCTCGTAGGCCGGCAGGTCCAGCTGGTTGAAGCTGGGGACACACCCGTGTCACTGTCACCCCCCCCCAGAGACCCCCAGTGCCACCCCGCCCACGTCCCGCTGTCGCCGTGTTCCTGACCCAGCTTCGTCCCCCTGCTCCGAGCTGGTGTCACCATCCCGGCCCCGGTCCTGCTCCTCGGGCGTGTCCCCCGTGCCAGGGTCCTCAGCTGACCCCCCCAGTGCCACCTCCCCTGCGTGTCCCCACGTCCTCCCGTGTCCCCTGCCACCCTCCCGTGTCCCCCTGTGCCAGGTGTGGGCAGAGGGCGGCGGAGGCCGCGTGGCCCCGATGTCCTCAGGTGTGCCCTCACCAGGTGTGTGCCAGGGCAGGTGTTCAGTGTCCCCCCAGGTCCCCTCCTCTGTCCCCATTCCAGGTGTGTGCTGGGACGCTGTGCTCAGTGTCCCCTCATGTCCTCCTGTCCCTGTGTCCCCCTGTGTCCCTCCTGTGTCTCCGTGTTCCCCCCGTGTCCCTCACCAGGTGTGAGCCCAGGGCAGTGCTTGGTGTCCCCCCACCCCCGTGTCCCTCACCAGGTGCTCAGTGTCCCTGTGTCCTGCCATGTCCCCGTGTCCCCCCGTGTCCTTCATCAGGTGCTCGGTGTCCCCGTGTCCTGCCATGTTCCTGTGTCCCATGTCCCCGTGTCCCTCACCAGGTGTTCGGTGTCCCCGTGTCCTGCCATGTTCCTGTGTCCCCCCACGTCCCCGTGTCCCTCACCAGGTGCTCAGTGTCCCCATGTCCTGCCATGTTCCTGTGTCCCCCCACGTCCCCGTGTCCCTCACCAGGTGCTCGGTGTCCCCGTGTCCTGCCATGTTCCTGTGTCCCCCCACGTCCCCGTGTCCCTCACCAGGTGTTCGGTGTCCCCGTGTCCTGCCATGTCCCCGTGTCCCCCCGTGTCCCTCACCAGGTGCTCGGTGTCCCCGTGTCCTGCCATGTTCCTGTGTCCCCCCATGTCCCCACGTCCCCCCGTGTCCCTCACCAGGTGTGGGCCGAGGGCAGCCGGTCGGTGGAGCGGTCGTCGCGGTGGATCTGGAATTTCTGGATGCCGTTCATGCCCTCGAGGGCGGCGAATCCCTGCAGGGGCACCTTGGACGTGCCCGTCACGAACTGCAGGAACTTGGCGCGGTCGGCCTGGTCGAAGGAGCGCAGGGCGCGCCAGAACCACTGGATCTGGGCACGGGGACGGGGACAGGACGGGGACAGTCAGCCACTGGGACCCACCGGAATCCCCCCAGGACCCCAGAATCACCCAGAATCCTGGAATCCCCTGAGATCCCTCCAGAAACCCCTGAAATGTCCCCAGAACCTCCCAGGTGCCAGCCCCACCTGGATGGAGTCACCCTGGTACCCAAAACAACCCCAGAACCCCCTGAAATTGCCCCAGAACCTCCAGAAACACCCCCAGAACCCTGTGAAATCCCCCCAGAACCTCCAGAAATGCCCCCAGAACCCCCGGAGATCCCCCAGAACCCCCTGAAATCCCCCCAGAACCCCCTGAAATCCCCCCAGAACCCTCTGAATGCCAGCCCCACCTGGATGGAGTCACCCTGGTACCCAAAATAAGCCCAGAACCCCCTGAAATCCCCCGAGAACCCCCTGAAATCCCCCCCAGAAA